ACAATTATGTTATAATTTATGTTAACTGTCCTTTTTTTTTAAAAATCATCACAGGAAATTTTTTTTTATTGTTGTGCTAGCTGGGGGTACAATGTAGTATTTACAAAAGTTCTTATAATATATATTAATATATCTAATATATCACACTTGAATTCACTGCCTCCATCATTCTCCTTTAACTCCCCCATACACTATCCATTCTTCTAAGATTTGGAAGTTTTATTCATGTAATAAGTTAAATCATTAGAAATTTCTTCTAGTACCCAATGCTTTAAGTTAGAATTAGAAGTCACAATATTTAATAAAAATAATTTGAAGACAATTTCTTTCTCTTGTACGGTAAAACACAATTTAGTGCCAGGGGAAAAAAAAACAAAACTCTTTCTTCAATTAACTTTATATGTATCTCTAATTTCCATTAAAAACTAAATATTGCCCAGTATAGTGGGGTATGCCTGCAATCCCAGTTACTCAAGAGGTGAAAACAAGAGGATCGTGGTTCAAGGCCCAACCTGGGCAAAAGTTAGCGAGACCATATCTCAAAACACAAGTCAGGCATGGTGGTACTTGCCTGTGGTCCCCACTACTCTGGAGGTGGAGGTAGGAGGATCCTGGCCTGAGGTTGGCCTATTGGTTGAGGCAAAGTTATCTCAAGGCTCTATCTGAAAAACAAACTAAAAGCCAAAAAGCTGGAACTGTGGCTCAAGCAGCACAGCACTTATCAAGTGTTAGACCCCGAGTTCAATCCCTACTACTGTAAAACAAAACAAACCTAAATAACCCCAAATAGCTTTCTTTTGGTCTTAATAACAAGACCTGAAAGCCAACTTATACGTTTAATTAACGTTTCTAAATTTTTCCTTTTCAATGAAATTCTGCTGTTTAAAAATTGTCATTCTTTTAACATGATTTATAAAAAAAATCACTGGAATGCTTTATTGAGAAAGAAGCAACATTTTCATATTACATGACTCTTCCTGATATAGGAGTAAGGGACAGATACTCAAGTAAATATTTTGGACACTGTTACAAAACTTCCAAAGGAGAATGTCAGTAATATAATTTGAACACTATCACTATTACCGCTGTCAGAATGACCTAATATAAAATCACTGTATTATTTCTTTGCAAAGGCAAAAGACAATTCAAGGCTAAAGTGCTAGTTACTAAGGGTGAAATTTTCAGTGATTCTTCTATAAGTGTTTGATGATAAAAAAAAATACTGATTATATAAAATGGGAATTTGTCTAGTCTTGGTAAGCTAATTATGCAATAATACAGATCTGTCCGTTTTAGCCATCTCAATCTGAGATCCACTGCTCCATCCGTTATAGGACAGTTAAAAGTTATATGAATTATAAACCTGAAATCACTCAAAATTATTTGTATCTGTTTATACACTGTAAAAATATTTTTAGACTTTTGAAATTATATTTGCTGCTTATTAACATAAAAATCTTAAGCATAAATATATTATAAATATGATGTTTATGATATCATAAATATAATTTTGTAGGAAATCTTCAAAGTAAAAGAACAAAAACCATTTTCAAGAATAATCAATCAGAAACAAGCTTTTTCTATCACTTTAAACAGACCATTATTTATGTACATCATCATTTACATTACCTTAGCCTGCCTTTACGAGTTCACCCAACTTAACTGTCTTTTTAGAGCACATAACTGAATGCCTGCCTTCCAAAAGCTAAAATCCAGCTGGGCATGGTGGCTCAAGCCTGTAATCTTAGCTACTTGGGAGGTGAACATCAGGAGGATCTCAGCTTGAGGCTAGTCTGCTTGTGTGTGTGTGGGGGGGTGCGGTTCATGAGACTCCATCTCAACTAATAGGTGGGTGCAGAAGCACAAATAGGAGGGCTGCAGTCCAGGCCAGCTAAGCATAAGGTGAGATCCTATCTCAAAAAACCAACACAAAAAGGGCTGGTAGAATGGCTCAAGTGGTATTGTGCAAGTGTGAACCCCCGAGTTCAACTTACAATACCACCAAAAAACAAAACCTTACAATTCCATTTCTCTGATCTAGCCAAAATTACTAGCTTTTCCAGTAACAAGATGTAGTTTATTGGTACGATTTCTTATTGTTCTTTTTATATTGATAGTATGTCAAAAGTTAACATATGTTTAGTAATATAAGTAAAAAACCCATTTCTGGGCTCAAGAAATCCTGCCCAAGCCTCCTAATAAACTTGGATGACAAGAATGTACCATGACTGCTTAAAGCTTTTTTATGTTTTTGAGGTAGTAAAGGACTTCCACATATATTTTGCCAAAGAATATTCCTGTAATACTGGAATAAATTTTTGCTTCCATGGAAGATATTATGACTTAGAAATTTCTTAAAATACAGATACTTTCAAAGTAGATATTCCCAGAGCAAAAGGGACAACAATTAAATGACATCAGAACATTAAATTTCTTTCATTTTGCATTTGAGATGCCTTTTTCCTTATAATTTATCTTACAGCTTGTAGGGAAACAAAATGCTCATTTATTTTACTTATAGGAGTCTTTAAGGTTTACATTGGCAAGTATCAAATGTCTCAACAAAGATAATAAAGTCTCAAAACAGTAAAAACATTTTCATCATTAAGATATAAAGTATACCTGATATTTTATGGAGAAAATTCCTTAACAGTTAAGATTGCTATTATTTATTTTGAAGAGTTTCTGAACAATTTTCACTAATAAAGTTACTGTAGTAGTGAATTCCTTTTTCATTAGATTGTTTAAACAAACACATAGAGACACACACATCCTATATTCTCTGTCAAGACTGAAATTATTTCAGTTATTCAGGCTTCTAAATGCTATTGGCAGAATGCCTTCTGCTACCATTTATAATATATAAAGTATGGATGTACCTTTCTCAAAACCCAATAAAGCTGTTTCTCAGAGCTATAAAATAAGTATATTTAAAACTAAGCTTGAAATGTTTAGAAATATTTAGTTTTTAAGGAAGTTAAATTGTTTGTGTATCACCTTCCTGCAGGAATTTATTTTGACTTGGCAAGAGTCCAATGACTATGGGCTGAATAGTCCATTAAAAGTTCTACTGTACATATAGAAAACTTCATAAAAATGTTTTCCAAAACACTTCAACCATGAAATTTTGTTTTATATGCTTCCTAGAGCATCTAAATTTGAAGAGTTTAATCTACTTACTACTGTAAGTACTTATTTTTGTAAGTTTTAGACTTATAAAATATTTAACAGCTCAAGTTTTTGTAGGCATGAATAAGGTTCTGTAATAGAATGGAAAATTAGCTGAAGCTTAATTTGAAGTCTAGTACTTTTGCTAGGACTCACATTAGTAATCCTTAGAAGTTTGAGTGTCTGCTAAAATACTTGTTAAAATCTCTTATTTGTACATTATCTTTTAGCTGACAACCAAAATTTTCATCATTATAAACAGTTTTAAATGATTTCACTTTGTCACATTAATAATACTGGTATTTCTGGAAAATGACTACTTTTTTGGGGACAGTACTGGGCTTTGAACTCAGGGCCTCATGCTTGCCTAGGCAGGTGCTTGACCACTTAAGTCACTCTGCCAGCCCCTAATGATTACTTTCTTTAAATGTATTCAATGGACTCTAAACACAACACTTAAATGTCTATCATTATCTGCTTTTAAGATATATGAATAAAATTATTTAACACTTGGAATTTTTCTTTCTGGAATTACATTTTCATTTCCCTTTTATCCTACAATAGTGGTTCTCAGAGAAATGTCCCTGGAGATAGTGGTAGGGATCTTTCCTATCAGGACACATTTGGCAATGTTTGCAGACATTTTCAATGCTCATAACTGGAAGAAGGGTCCTAGGCACATCTAGGGGTGCCAGAGACGCTGCCTAAACATCTCACAAAGCTCAAAGTAGCCCTCGTTTAAACAACAAAGAATTATCTGATTCAAAATGTCAGTGATATTGAGGTTGAGAAACCTTGTCCTAGATTGATAGATTTTTATACCTAAAACTCTTCTATTCATCACATTATACTTCTCTAAAATAAAAATATTTATACAGCTGGCAAAAAAATAAATGTCCTATAACATAAAGACCTGGGTTAAAAATGTCTTCAAAACTGATTTATTATAATTATGATTAGTACATATTAAAATCTAAGCAACACTGACTAACAACTATCAAATATATAAGTGAAAATATATTTAAGTGTTCCTAATGAGATGGATGAGGCTTATATTTATTTTTAAATATTACTTAGGATCAGAATAAAACAGTATTTAGTGTAATGATATTTCTATTTTCATTTTTATGAGAGCTAAGAAACTTTTTTCACATAAATAAGACAATGAAAAATGAGTTCTGTTGGAATAATGTCACTCAATTCTGTGAGCTTTTTCTAAATTATATACCTAAGTTACACAGTGATTTTTTTGGGGGGGCGGGGTTTGAACTCGGGCCTCACACTTGGTAGGCAGGCACTCTACCACTTGAGCCACTCCACCAGCCCCACAGTAATCTATTTTTAAAAATTGTTTTAGTAATCTATCAGCTAATAACCTAAGTTCCTTTTAACATTGTTAAGAGCAAGGAATTTAAAACTAACTGATTTGCAAAGACTTTGTTATATAGTCTTTCGGTATTTATTTTACTGCTATTAGATGACCCAGAGATTTTTAAATCTCTACGAGAGAGTTCAAATTAGACTGCCCTGTGAATAGTCTTTGAGAACTTTTTTTACTTCAGTGTAAGAATACAACTTCACTTATCAGTTAGGGTTTGGGAAGCCTACCAGGCATTTTACAATCTAATTAATTACTTGGAAAACATCTATTAACTGTGCCATAACCATGTCTGTTTATTGGTCCACTGTGACAATTTAAGTACAGATATCATAAAATACCTACACCTCACAGCCTAGGATTTAGAAACCATATCATGTATTTTGTGAAAATTAGATTCTCAGGAAAGAAAATTATTCAACTATGACTATAGTTCTCTTCATTACTCCCTTACCTCTTAGATACTCTGTACTGTGCTGTGGTCAATTTTCCAGTCTCAGGGTCATGTACTGTAGCTCGGCTCAGCTACAAAAAAAAAAAAAAAAGAGAAAGGACAAGGACTTACACTCCAGTAGCAGGCAATTTTGGGCTTTTGTTCATTTTGTTTTGTTTTGCCACGCCACAGATGATTGGAAGGATTCAGATTGGTCCTAATGGTTTCAAACCAGCAAAAACATTTAGAAAGGTGGCAGTTAAGAACAGCCACTCCTAAATGAAGAGAAAATGGATTTACAGATTTTTCTTGTAGGTTGTCCTTTCACTTTTTTTAAAAAAATCATTTGAAGCTGTATGAAAATGATTTATAGCAGTGGGTTTCACAGGAGCTTTCCCAGACCTAGAAGTTTAATATTCTTCAATTATTTTTTTTTAAATTAAGTCTCTTTAAGTTCATTAAAAAAAAAAAAAACAACTCTCACCAAGATAAAACTTTCTTCAATTCTCTGCAAAACAAAAGGTAACTAAACTTATAAGTAGTTTTTTGGAAGACTGAGCTCAGAAGCATAACTCTGTTGTTTCCACCGCCAACTTTTGAGTCAGCAAAGTTTTAAAAATAAACTCCAACAAGAGAAATATGGATTACTTTATAATAACAATGATATTTTATAAAATCTAAGAACAAAGGCCAACACAGTCACCATGAAGGACGATGTGAGTCACTGCAGCACTTAGCAAAGACTAGTCCCAGATTAGCCAGGCTACTGCTTTTTATTTATTTCCCACTTTGGTAACAAAGGGGAAAAAGAAAACAAGTACCAGGCCACTTCTTGGATATTTGATACCTGATCTTAAGAAAAATACATGCATATTAATTCCCTCAACATAAAAGATCAATTGGAGATTAAAAACAGAACTTCTAGTTAAAGGGAAAAACCTGTGAAACACAAAGCTGTCCATGAGTTGTCCTGTTTATAAGGCGGCCACTTGAGCTGGAGACTGAAAATGACCTACGTCCCTTAAATAAATAAAAATTCCTGTAGGGTATACAAAAACATTCATTAGAGGGCAAAAAATGCAGCATACATATCTCTTACCTTTTGCTAATTCTGTAATGTACCGTCTCCAAGTCTCCTGTTATTGGGTTTGAAATGGTGGCTCGCCTCAGCTGTGAAGCCAACCATCAAAATAGTTGCATTACAAGACAAAAAATGAATCACACTTATCTAACCAGTCAGAATTCTGGGTTTCTTTCTTCTTTTTTTTAAAACAAAGGATGGTGAATAGAGGAAATACTCTATAACTTCCAGTCACCTTGTGTTGAGCCTTAAAAGGCAGCTGATTTTTTAGGCTTTGGTGGGTTTCTTTTTTAATTTTACTTGTTTCTGTGTTGCATGAATGAAGGGTACTCAAAACAAAAAGATTGGACATCAAATTTCTTTCAATGGTTAGAGGATGTGACAGTGAGGAAAAGAGAGATTTCTAAAATTTGAAGTGTCATTTATAGTTCTAAAAATGGTTATTTGTAATTAATGACCTACTCTAAGACCTTCAATTTAATTTTTAGTGGTAGAACTGTTTGCAAAAGTTAATACTGTTTAAAATTTGTTTTAAGGTCAATCTTTTCTTCCTTTAAGACACTCACTTGTTGACATTTACAGTAAAATAATCTTTCTGAGCAGAAAGGCAGATAAAAATGACTTGTAAAAGTTAAAAACAATAGAAAAGAAAGGACAACCAATAAAATGACATAAAACATTAAAAAAACTGGAACAATGATTTTGAGATTAACATTTACTGATCAAAATAAACTTACTGATCAAAACTATTAAATTTACTGATCAAAAACAATCCAAACCAAAGAATCTCCTTTAAGGATTGAAGCCTTCAAACTCAGACATTAATTCTTAATGAATATTCAGCTGAGTTTACTGACCACAAATAAAGGACTAAAATAGGAATTCAAAAGAGAATAACATAATATGATGCAATTGTAAGTAGCATTCTGTTTGATGATAGATTTATAAAAATTTTCTTAGACAACACCAACATGCATTAGACCAATCTTTTACATTTATCATCTTTCTTTGATGAAAACTAAAAAGTACCTATTTTAAAAAGTAATAAAACTTAAAATCTAAATTTATGTAAGTACAGATATCTAGATCAAACTTTCATGATACAATAAGAGTCAGCAAACCCACAGGGAAAATTCAGCTTCTGTTTTTAGAAATAAAATTTTATGGAATATAGCCACACTCATTCATTTACATTATTTTTTTGGCTGCTTTTACACAACAATGACAGAGCTGAGTAGTTGTGGCAGACACTTTATGGTCCACAAAACCTAAAAAATATTTACTATCTAGACCATTTAAAAAAAAAAAAAGACAAACTACCAACTTCTGTGTAATAAGAAAGCAAACATATGCCTAGCAATTATTTAACGATCTCTTTTTTACTATCAAGAGGATGAACTATGTTTGAAGAACAAGCTGATGGGGAAAAAAGGAATAAACATAAAGAGTAGTCTTTCCTACATTCTCACGTAAAAGAAAATTTCTATACTGAACACTAAATCAATAGGATTAAGTTTAACCCACATTAGAGTATTTTTGAGGCAGGATGTGTTACTTGTGTTGATAACAAACTGAGGAAAAACTGGCAGAGACAGAGCACAGTTAACAACTCCATTACATTGAGGTAATAATACTTAAAACTTTCTGTTGAGTTATTACCATACTACTTATCCTTTATGTTATCTTATGAAGGAAAAACTGACACAGAAATGAGAGAAAAAAAAAAAAAAGAAAATGATTTACCCTTGGTTTTGCTAGATCTTTAACAATTTCAATTTCTGCATCAGAAATAATATCGTGGAAGCGAATAATACGAGGTTTGTCCCACTCATCTTCTTGTTTGGCTGGAGCCAGAATAAATTTAGGATTTCGATTTCCATCATGGTAGCGGCAAAACAGTTTCTTTTGTCTCCGAGGAGTCTAAATATAAAATTAAGAAAATAATAAATATTCTAGAGTAATAATATTTGTAATACCTACTCCTATGCAGACAAAAAAACAATAATCATGCTTGCATGTACATAATCTCTGAAGAATACACAAAAGCAGTAGTACTCAGCAAATATGTTACATCAAACAGGATTTTTCAATTTTTGTTAAGGATTCTTGGGACCTAAGGAGGTAGTTCAATAATAGAGTGCTTGCCTAGCATGTGGAAGGCACTGGGTTAGATTCACAGCACTGAAAAAAGAAGATTCTTTTCTGGGAGAGAGAAGGGATGTCTTAAGAAAAAAAGTAGGATTTTTCTTTTAACCATTCTCTCAGCAAATAAAGGTCAGGTGTTAGAAACATGAAATGAATGCCCAGAATTGCTCCATACTTCAAAAACAAACTGAGAAGCATCCAGAAGGTAAGAAAGTTTCTAGAACAAAAAAACAAAACTAAACCAGATTTTAAGAATACCTGGGCTGGGATGTAGCTCAGTGGTACAGCGCTTGCCTAGCATGCGTGAGGCCCTGGGTTCAATTCCAGTACCAAAAAAGAAAAGACAAAAAAAAAAAAAGAATACCTCACAGTTAAACGCTTATGGCAAAAATAATAATGATGATAGTAATGGTAATATTTTTAATTAGCAAAGATGAAATGGGTAGTTCTGAAAGAGAAAAATTATTAAAGAAGCTAGGTGCTAGCGGGTATAAAAATAGAGCAGACAACAAAGCAAATGTTTCTTTCAATCATTTATGTACTTATGAGTTAACAAAATAACTTATTTCATTGCTGATTCTTTTTTTTTCTTGTGATGTAGCCCGGGCCAGCCTTGAACTCATGATTCTCCTGCCTCAGCCTCCCAAATGCTGGAATTATACCATACAGAGTTTCTATTTTTCTTATTAAACAGGTATATCATATGAGGCAGGAATATGATTAGTTTAAGTAATACAACAAATAACAATTCACATTTACTATTCATGACTTTACCTAGGGTCAAATTCAAGGCTCTATATCACCTAAGTCTCTTACGTAATGATGAGACTAATTTAATCATTTAAAAAAGGATGCTTTTCTGATTGCGGGAAGAACTGGCGTGTATGTGTCAGGTAACAAACGGTCTATCAGCACGCGTCCATTCTGTACCTATAGTACTACTTTGATAATTTGTAAAAAGCATTATTAAAGGCAACAAAAAATTTGCTTACTGTTGGAAATTTGAACACATTTGATGTTATGGAACTTTTTTTTTTTTGATGGAACTGAGGTTTGAACTCAGGGCTTTGTACTTGCAAAGTAGGTGCTCGAATGCTTGAGCCACACCTCCAACTTTATTTAGGTGTGGTTATTTTGGAGATGGGGTCTCAGAAACTATTTGCCCAGGCCTCAAACAGCAATCCTCCCAATCTCAGTCTCCCAAGTAACTCTAGGATTACAGGCATCAGCCACTGGTACCTGGTATGATTTCTTTTCAGGTGTGATAATGGCCTTGCAGTCATTTTGAGTCTTTCCCGTTAAAAGACATATATTCTTGTACTTTGGATCTAGGATGCACTCAAAGCTTGTGTGCCAAAGCTTGGTCACTAGTCTGTGGCACTGTTGGGTGGTGGCAGAACCTTTAGAAGGTCAGGCCTAATGACAGTTCACTGCAGGTGTACCACTGAAGGGGATCCCCATCCCCAGCTCTCTCTCTCTCTGCCTCCTAGAGGCCATGAGATAAGCAATTGTGTAGCTCATACTCTCCCTCGCTATGTTCTGCCTTGCCACAAGCCTGAACTGATGAGTAAACAAACCACAGACTGAAACTTTTGTTTCCTATCTTTCCTCTTTTTATTTGTCTCAAATTGTTTTGTCACAGTGATGCAAAGTTGACTAACACACATACTAAAATATTTAGAAATGTAATGAAAAAAACAATAAAGTTTAATGAGTCTAACAAAATGTTATTATCCTTGTATGTAACTCATTAGCTCCCAAAGTAAAAGCAAGCATGTCTTGCTAGGAGTCCATAAACCTGGCAATCAAAACCATCAACAAAGATATGATGTACATATTTGCTGTTAGTGGTTAGGCTGCCAGCAGTCATCAACATCAGTATCAAAATATAAAGCTTGGTTTTAGTTTACTAGTAATGAAGACAAATTTAAACATTTTTCAAATGTTTATGCTTATAAGTACTTTACTCCAAAAATTCACTAACTCTTTTTATGTATCCTGCATTCAAATGAACACTAGTATCACATGACAGGATCTATAATCAATTAATTTTGGGAAACAATGCATATCATACCCATAATAATGCACATTATCATATAAAGGCTCTGAGAAGACCTGAAGCTAAACAAAAACCTATGTCCAATTTTCTGACTTAACAAACGGAACTTTTTTGACTTGGGCTTGGTATCTATTGATATCCAAAGAGCTCGCAAAATAAATGGAGCATGTTAAATGTGACACCCAGGCTTAAATATAAAAGAACTGATTCTCTCTAGAACTATGTATAAACACATAACATACAACACTCACACACACACAATTGGCTTTTCCACTTTACCATTTTGATACCCTCCCCACGGCACAGCATTTCATACTTCTGTCTCTCTGGCAGGTAATCCACAGCCATCCCTTTTTTCTTCGGTGTGGTTTTCTGATCAGACTGGTCATCTGAAGCAGACTTATTGGCATCTTTTTCGTTAGCCATTATATACTCAAAATATTTTAAGTTACCATTAGCTCTCTGATGTTCAGGATCTGGTACAAGAGAAATAAAGCATTAGAATACAGTAATATAGAGGACCATATAATTTCTCTCAAACCAATATGCTTTTGAGAGTAAAAGGAGGCACTAATAAGAATTATTACCCAAAAACAACACATGTCAACTAGTGCTGCCCCAAGCATATCAGGACATATAGTTACCCTATATAAAAACAGTTCTGGAGACAGAAGTACCTTTTTCAAGGTAGCAATTATTGCTTCTACTTTAAGAACTTACTAATCAGCCAAAGAAATTATGTTCAATTGGATGCCAACTGAATCTTAAAATCTTACCCATTCTACTTATTTCAAACAATGGAAAAGATTTTTCTGAGACTGAAAAATAATCACTATGGTGAAGACAAAGCATACATAGTTCAAAAGCAACGTTTACTAGAGATACATTATAAATGCAAAACCTAAGTTTATACTTGAGGGCTGAGTAGATTTCAGCTCCAAATTTCTAAATAAGAAGGAAAAAGGAAACTAAAGATATAATTTTCAAATAAGCCAGAATCCACTAACTGCCTCAGAATTGCTAGTGATAATTTTTAGCTACCTTTTAATAGAGGAAAAGAAAAGTACACCACCCTTTTGGGGAAAAAAACAACCCAAACCATCACATGCAAAGAAAAAAATAAAAACAGAATAGCAGTACATAGAGACTTCACTTGTGAAGTCTCTAGACTGTAAACTATTTCTTGACCTTCAGAAACCGCTGACAATGTTATGATAAATAATAAAGGCCTAACTTATTAAAGGGAAAAGTGTACATGTGTAGGGAGGAGGAGTGAATACTACAATGAAACAACAATGTGTGTGTATCTTTGGGTAACTAGCTTATGAATGATCTCTACATCTTTTTCTGTATTAATGAATTTTCTACAATAAGTATAAAGTATGTTATAAATGTGGAGGAAAATTTACCAGAAAATATCCAAAGAAAAAAGGTTAGTTGAACAAATTTATTCATCCAACTAGAAATAAATCAATTACCCAAAGTTCACTTTCAGATCATCAATCCTTTTGAGCTGATTTTTCTAACATACAAATATTTTCCTATTCATGAAATAATTCACTTTTTAAAAAAAGTTTTAAAGATTCATAATATACCAAGGGTTGCATGAATTTATTATTGCACACATTCTGGGACTCCATTTCCAAAGATTATGACTTAATAGGTCTTGGGTAGAAATCAAGGCATTTTCATTTCTAACAACTATGTAAGTAAATTTGATGCAAACGGTCCCTGAACCATACTTAAAGAAACACTACATCTCTGTTCAAAGCACTAGTGTTATGGTAAAAATTCTCATTAGATAACATGTTTTTCTAATATTCGAATGTGAAATGAAATAAACCAGTAACCCCCTTCTAAATATGGTAAGAAAACATTTTTGACTGAGTTAGCTAGATTAGATCTAATTTTGAAATTCCTGGAGAACAGAGAATAGAGAACACAGATACTTTTGCAATACTTTCAGGAAAGAAAAATCAGTTGCCATTTACTTTGAGAATAAACAGTGAGAGAATACAGTACATGTAACAGATAAGGCTCTTGACTTCTAAAAAACACAAAGTACCAAAGGTAATGTGGACGGATGGGTGGATAGATAGATACACACATAGGTAATATCTATTCCCAATACAATTATAACCTCATTACACCCAAATAACATACCTAGTTCAAGAAGCTTCTTTGTGAGCAAAAGTGCCTTATCCAGGTCTCCCTGCTGGTACACTGCATAGCTCAAATAATCTAGAACAGAGACTTTATCTATGGTAGAAACTTCGCCTTCATCCAGCTGCCTTAGTGCTTGTTCCATCCACAGTTCTGTGTGGTAGTAATCTGCTTCCGTGTAGGCCACTTTGCCTAACTCAAAGCAGTCTTCAGCTGTTAGAAAGGATTTCAGTTTTACTCCTATAAAAAGAAAATACATAGAACTTTAAGACTCTTCATACTACTTTATTGAGGGCCATGTAGCTTTCAAAGTGCTATTTCTGGCCTGGAGGAGGGGCTCAAGTGATAGAGTGCCTGTCTAGCAAGTTTTAGGCCCCGAGTTCAAACCTTAGTGCCACAAAAAAATAAATAAATAACCTGCAAAGTGCTATTTCACTCCCATTTGAACTTTATAATATGAGGTACGAAAAGCAAAAATTATCCTAATTTTACAGACAAATGAATAATCTATAAAGATCCTCCTGATCTCTGTCTCCTGAGTACCTGCGATTATAGGCATGCCACCAGCACCCAGCAAGAGTTTTGTAAATGTTGGACAGTGAAACAATATGTTTTATATAATTAAAGACAAAAAACCTAAAGCAAAAAGGCAACCCATCCCTAAAAATTAACAAAAAACTATTAATTGATTGAACTCAATTACAGAACACATTGAAGGCACAACCACACAGAGAAATGCATTACTTCAGATATCTTCAAGACAATATTTTGACTGATCATATCTGGTATGATAGACAGTAAGGATTAAAAAGTTTTTTTTAAAAAAAAAAGGGTTGGGGGCATAGCTCAATGGTAGACAACTAGCCTAGCACACATGAGGCCCACTACTGCCCTCCCCCCCCAAAAAAAAATAAGAAAAAGAGAAAGAAAAAAAAAAAAGAGTTGAATATTGAATATGGTGGCACATGCCTGAATCCTAGCAGTTGGGAAGCTGAGACAGGAATATCGAAAGTTGCAGGCCAGCCAGGAGGAGAGCAAATTCCAGGCCAGTCTGGGCTACCATAATGAGACTGTCTCAAAACAAAAGTAAAAAGGAAATTATACTGCATTCAGTAGTAAAAGTTATTAATAGCAAGCACACTGTTATGTGAAATCATTTTAGACATATCATAGACAATACACAGAAGTAATTATATTAATGTCATTAGGAACCAAGATTTTCAACATCATAAGTAAAAACCTGATTCTTGCACTAGAGAAGAAACTTGTCAGCCTAGAAAAAAACTAACCAAAGGAAAGAGATTTCCTTGCTATCAAATAGCATAATCATTTCTTTTTCTTTTTTCTTGCAGCAGTACTGGGATTTGAATTCATTTGCTAGGCAGATGCTCTACCACTTGAACCATGCCCCCAGCCCTAGTATGATCATTTCAAAAACACAAATGAAATAATGAGCTCTTCTGAAGAGGCTCCTCTAGCTAACATGACATAATCTAAACATCAAAAGAAATAATGAATAGACTAAAATACAATAATACTATATGTAAAAATCCATGAGGTCATATCATGACATCAACTCATTATTCTGAAAACTGATAAAAAGAATCATGGACTAATCTTGTCTTTCTGTATAGCTGTAGATCAGGGTAAACAAATGGTTCCTGAAGGAATGTTCTTGATAATAGAATTCCAGTTAATCAAAGTAGAAGGTATGATGAAATGAGAAAAATCACCAGTTTGCAACCTTAATAAAATAGTGGTTTCAGGCAACACTCATCAAAGCTACCCAAACCAATAAAGCTCACTGAGTGCTTCACTGCATGGAGGAAGCAGACTCTCAGCACCTGAACCAGTTCATCATCAATCAACGTGCAAAATGTATAATAAAGACTTTGGGTGTTGATTTATGCCATACAATAGCAAGTTCATAACGCCACCTATGGAGATAATTTAAAAACAACGTGAATCTAACTGAGCCTGAAAGTCTAACCAGTTTGTAGGGAACAAAAAAGTTAGAAGAAGCTAGTGGCTTATGCCTATTAATCCTAGCTACTCAGGAGGCAGAGATCAGAAGGATCAAGGTTCAAAGCCAGCCCAGGCAAATAGTTCAAGAGACCCAATCTTGAAAAAACTATCACAAAAAAGGGCTGGTGGAGTGGCTCAAAGTGTAGGCCCTGTACTTACACCTAAGCAAAGCCCCAGTACCACACAAAAAAAAAAAGTTAGAAGGACAAGTTTAAACGCCACCAAAGAACTCTGTTAACTCCAGAATGTGGAACATTCCACTGAACAAATGACCAGGTTTTCCCAACTGAAAGAAAAAAGACAAAAAACAAACTGCAACTGCATAAAGACATCTGAGATGGGTATGGTGGTGCACATCTGTAATCCCAGTACTCTAGAGGCTGAGATAGAAGGATGATGAGTTCTAGGCCACTCTGGGATACCCTATGTCAAAAAAAAATCTTTGTAATCACTAGAGAAATTGAATATTGACCAAGTATTAAATTATATTAAGGAAATACTGGCAATTTTGCTATGTTAAAAAATATCTGATCAGAGCCAGGTGCCAGTGGCTCACATTTGTAATTCTACCTACTTGGGAGGCTGAGGTTTGGAAGGATCGTAGTTCAAGGCCAGCACAGGCAAACAGTTCACAAGACCCCATCTCCAAAATAACAATGGATTGGAGGTGTGTGGCTTAAGCAGTCAAGTGTTTGCTTTGCAAGCAAAAAGCTCTGAGTTCAAACTCCAGTGCCACCAAAAAAAAAAAAAAAAAACTTCATCAGTTTTATATACATACTAAATTATTTATTGATAAAAATAACAGGCTGTCTAAGATTTGCTTTTAAAATATTCTAGCAAAAACAACAAAGAGGAGGAGTGGAGGGAATAGATAAAACAAGAATAGCAAAATAGTAAAAGTATTTGAGGCTCAGTAATGGATACATGAGAATCATTATGTTACATTTATTTTGTGTGTGTGGTGTTTGATACTTCCTATAATAAAATATTTGCAGATAACAAAAAGAGTAAAATTATGTCCTACAAGGCTCTTTTCATGCCTTGTAAAGAAAATCACATGGTTTGCTTTGTGATATGAACGAAAATGGTAAGTATGCAGGAAAAGATAGTTAAATTAGACAATAAAATCGATACAACTTAACATTTCCTTTGAATATATAGTTCTGCAAATAAATCAATATTGTACTTGAAGTCCTGCTTCCAGAAGAGCATTTTTTTAAAAGAAACTATTGGTCAAAAACAGAAAAGCCTAATTTCCTCTGATAAAGCGGATATAATCTTATATACTTAAATATCTGAAAATATCACAAAGGAAATTGGTAGAGAAAGGAACACAATGGTGTCTTTCTTTTTAATTGTTATTTTGTGGTGCTGAGTATAGAACCCAGGGCCTCCCACATGTTAGGAAAAGTGCTCTACCATTGAGGTACACCCCTCCCCCAGCCCAGACTGCTGTTCTCTTAAATAAATTTTGATTGAATACACTTCAGGCCTGAGGTATAGCTCAAGCGGTAGAGTATCTAGCTACCAAGTATGAGGTCATGAATTCAAATCCCAGTGCTGAGAAAAAAAAATTTAAAAATTTGTATTAAAATATCAACAAAGCATTTCAAAAAAAGGAAAGAAACAAGACAAACTAACCCAGGACATCAATAAGTAACATGGCATTAATATAAATCTGCTGAAAAAGGCATATCATCTTTTCCCCCACCATTTCATACTCAAACTGTTAAGATTTTAAAGTCTCATATGAACAATGTTTGGCAAAGACATGGAAATGGGGACTCTCCTACATTATTGATAAGAGTATAAATACAAGCACCAGAGAATAATCTGGCCACATCTGTTAAGGCTGAAGAAACATGACCTACCATTTCTTAATACTTTAGAAATGGGCACAAAAAGACATAAAGAATGTATCAAACTTGTTTGCTACAGCAAAAAATTGGATATAACCTAAATGTCCATCCACCCACAGAAAATGAGTACATCAATTGTGTTATACAATACCATACATGGATGAATTTATGAAAAAGTATCAGATAAAAATGTTTGCAGAAAGATGTACAAAACATGAAATATTTCTGTGCAAAATTTTAAAACACAATACAATGGAAAATATAGGGGGTAAAATATAAAAAGATAGAGGAATACACACCAAGTTTATTTTCTTTTAATGGTAGGAAAATTTATTAGGAAGTCATACACCTTTTTAGACTAAAAGTGGGCCATCCATAGAGTGAGAACAACCCAACCCTATTTGGCAGGGTTTTGTTTTGTTTTGGTGATACTAAGGCTTGAACTCAGGGCCTACACCTTGAGCCACTCCACCAGCTCTTTTTTGTGATGGGTCTTTTTGAGATAGGGTCTCATGAACTATTTGTCAGCGCTAGCTTCAAACAGAGATACTCCTGATCTCTACCTCCCAAATAGCTAAAATTATAGGCGTGAGCCACTAGTGCCCAGTTCAATTTGGCAGTTTTGGTTTTTTATTTTGGTGATACTGGGATTCGAACTCAGGGCCTCATGCTTGGTAGGCTTGCTAGGCAGGTGCTCTATCACTTGAGCTACTCCCCCAGCCCTATTATTTGTATTGGGTTTTTTGTTTTTGGGGATTTTTTTTTTTTTTTTTTGAGATAAGGGTCTAAGTGAACTATTTGTTTTGGGCTGGCTTCAAACCATGATCCTCCTGATCTCTGCTTCCTGAGTAGCTAGGATTACAGATGTGAGCCACTAGCACATGGCTACACAACAAGTTTAGAATAGTCATTATCTGGAGAAGAAGGGGAGGTACACAAAGGGCCTTAAAACATATTTGTGATCTTCTGGTAATAATAAAAAATGTTTTGGAGACCAAAAAAAACCAAAACAAAACTAGGAATGGTACTAGTTATAGGATAGGATAGGAAATGATATGCCTAGAAAATTTCCCATTACTTTTAAGGAATTTTCATGAAAGGAAAATTCAGTTACAATTAGCCCAAAACAGCAAGAAAAGTCAAAAAGGAAATAAAAAATGCATGAGAAAGGATGAATATTTTACAATGAAAAAATAGCCATTTTCAGTCATTCTATATAAAAGTCTTACCAACTGATCTCTGAAGTAAAGGCTCAGTACTTGGCCTAAGACTAACCACAGAGAAAACAGAATTATATAGTATTCAATATTTTAAGGAAAGATGAAATTTCAAACAAAGAAAATACAGAAAAACCAAATGAAATTAATTATCTCCCCCTACCAAACCTGCTTCTTCTCTTGTGTTATTTTGTTAAATGGAGCCAACCCGGCTGTTCAAGATAGGAACCTGTATCAGGTCTACCATTAAATTCTACCATTCTACTTCTATGTAACTTCATTATCTATGTACTTCTCCCCATACCCAGTAGTTACCATTATCATCTCTTACTTAAAACTTCTGCAAGAGTGTCTTCTGGTTCTTTGTTCCCAGGCCCGACCTGATCTCTATTCTGCAGCCAGAACAGCGTTTCTAAAAGGAAAACCATAAACTTCCCTGTTTAAAACTTTGTGATAGCTACCCATTGTGCTCAGGAAAAAGTTCCAACTTTTCCATGTAACTTCTAAGAGATAGTTGAATTACCTCACCTGTTATTACTCTCATATATCCAAACCCTCACCTCCATCTCATGCACTTACTATTGAACTGTATGTTAAACCATTCACACTACTTGTTAGTTACCCGAATATAATATGCTTTCTCCTTTGTAGCCTTCATACATGTTCCTTCTGCTTGGAACATTTTTCTCATGTTCACTCATGCCTTCCTCTTTTCAGTTTTCCAGCTAACACCTTGTCCATTAGATTTCAATTTTTTGTGTGTGTGTGTGTGTGTGTGTGTGTGTGGTACTGGGCTTGAACTCAGGGCGTACACTTTGAGCCACTCCACCAGTCCTAATTGGTGAAGGGTTTTTCAAGATATGGTCTCCCAAACCATTTGCCTGGGCTGGCTTCAAACTGATCCTCCTGATCTCTTCCTCCTATGTAGCTAGGATTACAGGCGTGAGCCACTGGTGCCTGGCTAGATTTCAATTTTTTTAAAGTCCTGTCTTCCAGAAATCTTCTTTATGCCTCTTATCAAGTCCAGAATTAGGTTTCCTTGGTGGGATTGAAGTTTGAACTCAGGGTGCCTTTGTGCTTGCAAAGCAGGCACTCTACCACTTGAGCCACACCTCCAGTCCACTCTGCGTTCATTAATTTGGAGATGGTGGGGGAGGAGACTCATGAACTACTTGTCCAGGCTGGCCTCAAACCACAATCCTCTGGCTCTCACCCTCCTAAGTAGCTAAGATTACAGGCTCCTGGCCAGAATTAGGTTTCCTTCTTTGTGCTTCCATACTAACCTAAATTTTCTCCTTCCAGGCAGTTATACTGTATCTTAAGAATGTTAAGTACTCAAAATGGCAAGGTATTATCTGTCTTGTTCATTATGTATCCTTAACAACGAACATAATAGTTGGCCTTTTTTTTTTTACAATATTGGGGTTTGAACTCAGGGCACTGTGCTTGCTAGGCAGGAGTTCTACCACTTGAGCCACACCTCCAGCATAGTTGGCATATCTAAATGTGGGGTAGTAAGCCAGAAGCCAATTAAGAAAAAAAGGTTATAATCTTATCAAAAGTGTTATAATGTATAAAATCTATAGAATCAAAAATTGCACATTCTTGGAAGTATTCCAGTTTAACAGAAATTTTATTTAATATACCATGTTTAGTTTTACCTTTTGATGCTCTCATCTTAAATGAAGGAGGATGAGCAAGAAATGACCTTTATAAACAACTAATTCCACTATTCTTTCTTACTGAGAAAACCAATTTCAGTATGAACACAGAAGCGACATATTTTATTTCTCCATGTGATACTGAATGACAGGAAATAGTACAGATAATAAGCCATGGACTCAAAGAAAAAGTGAGAAATAATCATGAAATCAGATGTAATTTAAAAAGAGAATTTTGCCAAGAATAGGTAAGAAAGCAGGACAGTTCATACTATGGAACACTTCTGACATCTGTCCATAATGCAAGCGCTGGTGGCTCACGCCTGTAATCCTAGCTACTCAGGAGGCAGAGATCAGGAGGATTGTGGTTCAAAGCCAGTCCGGGCAAATAGTTCTTGAGACCCTATCTCAAAAAAAAAAAATCCATCACAAAAAAGGGCTGGTGGAGTGGCTCAAGTAGTAGGCCCTGAGTTCAGAAAAAGTCTTAGCTTTTAATTATTGAACATACAAACTTTCATGATCAATCTCCTTGTATGTGTTACATATAAAGCATCAAGTATTATCAGATTTTTTTTAATCTGAAAAAAATGATTGTTTCTTTTTCCTACACACTAAAATTGCCTACTTAAGGTAGTCCCTAGAGATATAAGCTTTCACAGTAACAAATTAGAAGCATATCCACCACTATTAGTCCTAGGGAAAAAGAGGGTTCTCTTGTCCTCAAAGGTTATGAAACAAACTACAGTTTAAAATCTTAAGGTACGAAAGTCTTTTTATACTAACATTTTCCTAAGGGACTGAATAAAGCAGCCAGGCAATAGGCATTTGATAGACTGGAATATTTACCTGGAAGATTACCCTTTGAGATGGTATCTGTATCCAGATTGTAGGTGTCCTGGAGACGCAATAACGCTTTGGCTGCCCCAACCTGATCTTCATCATTAGGGAAGTACTGTCTCTGAATGGTTAGATTTGAGATAAAGCCTTGAAAAAAGGGGAGGAAAAAAATTGTAGAACCTCATATACTTTTAATATAGAGTCTTTCTAAGGCTTTTTCAAAATCTATTACCATTTTCTACCGTACCATGAAAGTTACACATGCTCAAGGAAAAAATATATATACATTGAATGAGATTTGACATACCTTTGTTGAATGTTCCTAATCTCTTTCTAATGTTAAGTAATCTGAAGTCAATGCAAAATTCCTATCTATATTAGTAGGTAAAGATCAATTAACATTATGAGACTTCCCCCTTCTCTCATTAAATAACTTGATCAGGAAAAGATTACACATTTTTATATTAGTGGAAATGGACAAATGAAAAGCTAGTTGGAAAAAGTTCATATTCAGCATACTTTTAAGTTTTAAAATCAACTCTCAGTAACAATGGAATTTTACAAGCAAGTTTAATACAAGACAATGATACTTCTTATGCCTCAAAACAAAATCCAAGATATTGCTTAAGTCCCCTCTATAATAAAAAGAGAATACACACACACACACATACTATGAGATGACTATCACATATTAAAACACCAAAGTCCTCAAAGTTCACAATATAAAAGAACTACAGGTCTTTACTTTAGAAAATCACAGGCACTTCCCTCTCATAGCAAAAGTCCATTTACAAGTACTTGCCATTTCTTTTCTTTTCATGGTTTCCTGTCCTATACATAATATAGTAGTCCCCCTTACCCACAAGGGATACTTTCTAAGACTCTGGGTTGCCAAAAGCTATGAATAATACTGAACCCTATACATATTGTTTTTCATATATATATATATATATATATATATATATATATATATATATATTTCAAATTGAACATCTTTTCTATCTTAACTAAGCATTTATTATGCACTGTGACCATTGTTTATAATTTGAGGTACAACAGCAAAACTGGAATGAATATCTTTTTCCTCCTTTACAATTTTATGGAGATAAGACTCATTCATAGTGTAGATTTTAGCAACCTCAGCATATGATTTTTTTTCTTATTAAGTCAAGCACTTTCAGATTTTCACTTAAAAGAAACATTTTACAGCTTCTCTTTAGCAGATCCAAACTGCCAGTGTCTCTTGCACTTTGGGGCCATTTGTGTTCAAGTAAACCTTGAACACAATGCACTGACACTGCAACAATGATATGATAACAGACAGGGCTACTAAGTGACTGAGGGCAGGTAATATATATGGCATGGACACACTGGAACATTTACATCCTTCAGGACAGGGCAGACAGCATGAGATTTCCTAACACTACTTAGAAAGGCACAAATTGTCTATAGGCATACCACCCTGAACACGCCCAGTTGTGTCTGATCTCAGAAGCTAAGCAGGGTGAGGCCTGGTTAGTATTTGGATGGCAGAAAGGTACAAATTTTAAAACTGCTTATTTCTAGAATTTTCTATTCAATATTTTTGAACTATGAGTAACTGAAACTGCAGAATGCAGTAGATAAGGGGGAACTACTAGTGGATTTCACATCTTACAAACACTGATAATTAGTCTTGGAGCATTTAATCTGTATACATAGTTCAACTCTCTCCCTTTTTTTGGGGGGAGGGGGGAGGCACCTTCATTCATTCAACAAGTATTTGAGCCTCTACTATGTACTAAGCATAATCCCTTTACCTTCTTAAACTCCAGGCTCAGTTTTCTGTGTCTGTCGCTAAAATATCTAAAATAATTCAACACTCCCAACTACAATTGCATTGTTTTTTCACTTAGAAAGACTTATTCATTATTGGTGCCTGCAACCTCAGTTTTTTTAAATTTACCGCCTACATAGCGTATGATAATCCTAAACTCAAAACACTGGGCAGAAGCTACACTTTTCTTTGTAATACCACTCCCAATAGTTTAAAAGTCTGAAGGTAATCCTAAAATAAAAATGATTTTACCCTCAGTAATAAAGTTATATGCCAAATGATCTGTTCACTTCTATAGATTTGGAAAAAAAAAAATCAATGTTGATTACCAACAACAGAGATTACTTTTTTTTAAATCAAAGAATGCAAGATCTTGATCAAAATAACTCTATAATCAAACCAAATGTACCCAAGCAATAATTCAATTACAACATTAAACATTTGATGTACTAGGAACTGAATTTATCACTAATGCTGGCATTTGTACAGATGGTAGTAATATTGTCTTAACTTTGTTTGGCTTAGTAAGTTTCCTTAGACTTACCATCTGACATATCCTTAAGAATCAGATTCTCCAACTCGCTCCACTCAGTGTTCAAACGTTTCATTAATTTGAATGCATTCACAGGATGCCCAACAAACCCTTCTGGATCTTTTGTTGCTGTGCTGGTTAGCCGATCTAACTTTTCTGCCCATCTACAGATGTTAAGATATAAAAACAGAGTACATACAGACTTAAGAAAAAACACAACTGAATAAAGCACTTGGGGAAAAAAGACACTATATTAAAGGCTTTTGAGTTAAAATTATACCTACAACTTCTTTTTAAAGTAAAATTATAGGCTAGAGGCATGGTCCAAGTGGTAGAGCACTTATCTAACAAGCACCAGGCCCTGAGAAAGGAGGAGGAAAAGGGAAAAAAAGAAAGAAGGAAACAGGCAGACAGGATGGGAGAGAAGGAAGGTAAGTTATAAAGAGTCCCTAAAAAGCAAAATCTTCTTATGGATAAAATCTAACTAGGCAGAATAAAAATATAGCTATAAAACTTTTTTATGTTGTTTCTCCCAAATGGCAACAGTAAATGGAACCTCCGTATTTTAGTAAAAAACTGAGATTTGATCCCCTAGTAAGAATCAAAAAATTCATTACCCATAGGCCCTTAAGGCCAAATAACTATTACAAAGTACAAATTTGCCCAACTCATATTCAGAAGTGTTCGTTTAAATCAACTTATACCAATTTTTTTTTTCTTTTGAGACAAAATTTCACTATGTTGTACAGGCTGGTCTCAAACAATCCTCCTACCTCATCCTCCTAAAGGAGCTGGAACTACAGGTGCATGCCACTGAGCACACCTTAAGTTACATGAAATTTTTGCATTCACTATCTAGAAATTGCATTTTAAAACAAAAGCCTCGATTAAACAAAAAGATAACAATTCTTAGGTCAGGATTAATTGTGAACCTGAGTCAAAATTAACATTTGAGAAAAATTATGTCTATTAAATAATAATTATCACTATAACCTAGGATTAAAGGATAAAATTGGAAAATGTTCCATCCCCTGCAACACTGCAATGGTTAATGAGTTGATAATGAAGATTATCGACTTGATTGACTTGACTGGATTGAGAAGCACCTAAGAGCTGAATAAAGCACACTTGTGGGTGTGCCTATGAGGGCATTTTCCACAGATGATTAACTTAGAGGGTAAGACCTGCCCTGACTATGGGCAGCATCATCCCACAGCTGAGACCTGAATGGAGTAAAAGGGAAAAAGAAAGAGCCCTCTAGTGCAAGCATTCTCTCTCTGCTTCCCAGCCGCTATGATGTGAGCAGTTCTGCTCTGCCATGCCCTCCCAACCATGATGGACTGAAACTGTGGGTCTAAATCAGTCTCTCCTCCCTTAAGTTGTTTTCATCAAGTATTTTGTCACAGCCATGAAGCTAACTAGTACACACAATCCTTGGCCTGGACTTATCCCTTATGTTCCATGTTCTTCCCCACATGATTTAATTGGCTTTGTAATACTGACAAGATGGCTTTCATTTCTCTCAAATAATGTTTTAGTTAAAAAAAAAAAATCCAGGTGGAGTCAGAGTCACTATAAGTAAAACACATGACTTACTTTTTTATTTGTTCTAACTTGTTCTCTTCCGCCTTAATATAATCTTTCAGAGAAGTCACCAGATCTTTCTCAGTATGGATCAAATCAGTCATCTGACCTATAAGGAAAAGAAAGGAAGAAAGTTATCAAACACTCACATTCAAAAAAAAAAAACCCCACTCATATTCACCAACATGAGTATTTCAGAGTAAGAATTGAGAATGCTTCATCTTATGGAAGGATTTAACTGGAATGAGCTAGTTGTGTTGGAAAAGATCATCTTTTTTCTTTCTTTCACTGTAAGTAAATCTAAATAAAGCCAACAACTTTTCTAATCATGTGTTCCAGTTCTAGTTTTCAAGCTACTTAGTTTTATAGGCTTAGACTACGATGGCAAGTTGTATTTTCATATACAAATTTAAGTTACAAAACTATTTCACAAGGATAAATGTTTCTTCGTCACCTCTCCCATCACTTTTTGTTTTCAAAACTAAATATAATTAGATTTTTATTCAATAAATAAAAAGGACACTAAAAAAGTAAACAATCTATGTTTAGTTATTTGTAAGGAATGAGAGAACTTATTTTATACCCTGAAATTAAATGTCATAAATATATCATACTTATGTGTTAGCTATACAATTCCACAAGGATCAAAATGGTTAGTAGAATGTAAGAAAATTTGTCATTTAAGACAATGAAATATATATGTGCATATATATGAAAATACAAAAAGATACATATCACACTGTGAAGTATATTATGGAAGTAAGGGAACAAGGAGGTCTCACATAGACATACACTGTACTTACAGTTTTTCCTTGTAACCAGCACATTATTTTTGTAATATTTTTAAAGATTTTTAAAAATTAAGACATACCAAAAAAAGTAACTTTTGTTCACAGTGCATTCTTAAATGGAAAAAGGTTAGAAAATAATGTATAGAACATTTTATGCATTTGTGTACTTAAAAAAAACTAAGTATATGCAATAAATTATTTGCTAGATAGACTTATTAATTAGTAACTGTTTTTAATATGCTTTTCTAAGCAGAATATGTATCACTTTTCTAATTAGGAAAATTTAAAGAAATACAAAACCAAATTTAAAAAAAAAAACAAAACAAAAACAGAGAAGACCTTTTAGAGGGGCAGTGAATGAGGCAATGTTTTAGTATTCAGTAATACACTGTTTTCACTAATCCAAAAAATACTAAAACATGGAAATTTTTAAATGTAAAAACAGCACAAATCAAAAAAATAGTTATGACTTACCAATTGAAGTAAAAAAGCCTGGATGGGCCAAAGACTGGGGAAGTAGTATCCCTACGATTAAAATACACCATATCATCTTGAAGATTTAATTTTACAGGCATATACCTATAAGAAAAATATAATTGTTACCAAAAACAGTGAAAAAAAGGGGGGAGGGCTATCTACTGTTCCCATGAACAAAATGAAAGTCAGACTCCAAGAATGACCATAGAACTGATGTTACTCCTTATTAATTGACTTAGTAATTCAATGAAAGACACTTATTTTTCATATAGAGTACTAACTTGGTATTTCCTATTAGAGAAAAATGTATGTTTGTTATCATATGATAACTTATGCTTAAAAATTCAACTCATTTGTTTTTATTGCAATAAGAGTAACTGACAGTACTGGCTCTTCATACAGTCTGAAAATGAAGTTTTCCCTGTAACTGCGATCTAAACTATAAAGTTTCCATAGAATATACTTTATTAGGATAACTTAAGTATTACCAATATGTTTTAAAGGAAAATTTCAGAGTTTTTGGATTATTTTTTAAAAGTCCTAACTTGCTCCATCTTTCCTCTACCTAGTTTTAAATGTTTAAATACATTCAAAGAATTTTAGGGTTCTGAAACTGAAGTGACTGGTGGTTAAACAACTCTGTGAAAGTACTGAATCATGAATACTAAATAGGCATGTATGTATCATACATGAAATGTATCTAAATGGTGCTATTATTTTTAAATAAATTATGAAGAATTCCAAAAGAATATCAACTCTGTTTAAACTAGTGATTTCTCTCAAATGACCAAATCTTGAAGGGTTTTTTCCCCTCTTATCTACTGTGTTCTATGTAAACTCCCTCCATACACACATACACACACCTGCCCAACTTAGCTTACTACACAGCTGTGGCCTTTTATTTTCTCTTCTCTCTTCTTTTAAGGCTGGTAGCAAAGCCCTTCTGTCTTTTTTCTCTCTGTTCCTGGTAGCAGTCTTTTCTAGTAAGTATTCTTCATGGCAGATGAGGCTATTAACCAACGGCTTCACCTCACTTTCCAGAAACTCTGCTAGAAATTTTTTTCTCTACCACAAACATGGATTTTAAGTCTTTCTTATCCCCTTACAAGAGAGTAAGTTACTATTATAGTACTGTTTGCCCCAGTAACAGGCTCCCATTGATTACTTTGACTTGCCACCCTGTTCCTCTTACCTCTGACTTCCCATGTGACTTCATCTAAACCAAGAGGCTCAACTGAGACTAAACTGAAAGCTCTCTATTCCACAAAAGCTGAAAAATAACCCCACTTTCCCCCTAAATTGTATCTCACTAAAAATAGATAACCACAAAAAATGACATTCTGAAATTACTCCTAAATCTCCTCCCTCAAGCTTGCCATGAATTTCCAGATACTTCCAGAACCACACAGTAGTGAAATGCACTGCTTTCTTGGCTGCCTTACAGTGATTTGGGGAAGGCTTCTAGAATGTAGCAGATGCAGACACTTCCTCTGTTGAGTTTCTGCCAAAGCACAAGGCTTTCTCAAAAATCCTGGGCTGTCTGAAGAGTCTAGAATTCTCTCATTGTTTAAACAGATTTCTGTCATACTTCATGAATATAATACTATGTCCAGAAAATAAAAATGCTTTTACTTGACTAACAGAAGGCTGATCACAAGTATTATCTATACTTTTAACTCTAGTGAGAAAGTTTAGATTTATCAGATGAGATTATTTTTCATTGTTAAAGTATGTTACAAAGATTCTTTAGTCACCTTTCATTGTCCTTAAATCTCACAATGAATCAAGAACGTTAGCAGAAATAACTAAAAAGTAGCTTAAGATGACATTTTTCTTGCAATGCAGTAACTTGAAAATTGTATTTTAAGAATGATAGATCTTATATAAAAACTGAAAGCATTACTCATGAGTAAATACACCTTTACCTTTCACCATGCTTCAAAATGAACTCTATAAGATTAAACAATTATAATCAACAAAGCAACAGAAGTAAAGCTATAGGGTCTCTGAAAGAGAATTTCTGCTGGCTAGAGATGTGGCTCAAGTGGTAGAGCACCTGCTTATCAAGCATAAGGCCCACAAGTACTGCCAGAAAGAGTCCAATCTATAAAGAAGACAGAGTAATAACAGAAACGAGCAGTTCTACTCCCAGGTCCCTAATTCTTTACAACTACCGCTCCCCCAATAATCTCCCAACCCAGATTAAGGAAGCCTATAAATTCCTTAAAGTTCAAATTGAATTTTGTCATTTGCGATACAAAATTCGGACTCATACAGCATTACCCCCAACTACTAGGCCAACCCAAGCTAGTTACGATGTAGCAGTCATTCCTGAACATTAGCCATATCAGAATGATCTGTAGGTCTGAGATGTCCAGATAATTTGCCCAAATTTCCAGGTGATGCTGATATTGCTGGTATAGGGATCACACTTTAAGAACCACTGCTAACAAACATCCCTTGAAATCACACAAAGGTACTCTGCCTTTAAAACAAGTTTTACACTTCAATTTATCTTTGGTAAAAAAATGTAACTGAATTTCTTTTTTGGTGGTACTTGGGTTTGAACTCCAGGTCTTCCTTATGCTTGCTAGGCAGGCACTCTACCACTTGAGCCACTCCGCCAGCCCTTGAATTTTCTAATCACTCTAGGGACTGGTTCCTCTAATCTGTTTTAATGCTGTGTCTCATTTACTCACATTCATTCAGAAACCTTAAGTGGCACGTTAATAGACAAACTTTATCTTTATCAATCACAGGTTTTTAGAACCATAATGATTTCCTTAATTATGGTGTCTCACTTCCATTTATTTCCACCTCATTCAGTTAGCAGCTTGCAAAGCAAATCATTGTAGAGCATCTGAGTGTCAAATTTCCCAAAAGACACTACAGCTTTAACAAAAAGTGAGATATGTCTCCAGCCTAAATCTTCAAACAATCTTGAAATAGGATTAAATGGGTCAAAGTGGATACAATCTTTAAAAAAAAGACAAATCTCAGGCAGGATCCCTGACAAGAGTTACCTTAATTTAAACAGAGAGAGAGAAAGAGAGAGAGAAGGAAGGAAGGAAGGAAGGAGAGGGGGAGCAAGGAAAGCTGAAGAACAACAAAGATCTAAAGATAAGCTTATAGTGGAATAAAACTTGGTGCTGTAGCAGTATGAGTAAGTTATTGATAATTTGGTTCTTGGTTGGATGGCAAGTTCATGAGTTTTTATTGTTTAATTTTAATAATAACTTATGTATATATTACATATAATGTCCAATGTATCTATTACCTTGTTTAAACTATAAGGAAAAAACGGCACAGAAGAAATTTTACTGGACAACATATTCTCAGGTAGACCTATATAAAAATAAATTGCAAAGTACACTATTTACCCAAACAAAACTTACAGTGCTTCCAGGAAAGTCCAGCCCAGCAACACTCAACAGGTCAATCAAACCTGGGAAGAGATTTTAAAACAGTTCTACTACATTGTAAATATTTACAATGTTGAGTTATCAAGATTCATTGAATTTTAAGTACAACGAATTACTAGAACAGGGCATGTGGAAAATAATTCTATTATCCTTTCAGTCTCACATTTTTCTCCCAAGAAAAAGTTACATTTTAAAAGAGTTTATCTTTTCCAGACTAATCATCTAAAAATTAGTGAGAGTAAAGAATGCTTGACAGTCTAAACTTTCTCTAACACTAAAAATTTTCCACAAGGCTCCTTTAAAGTCTCTCCACACCTTCCATACTTGTTCCAACTCTTGAGGGCTCCAGCTGTAAGTTTATTTTTCCTCACAAAGATCTCAGATTCAACTCTTGGTCCTCCTGACATTTGTGTTTACACTTTACTCATTTTTATAATTGTCATGATCCACATGAATTCAGGCCATTACAGTATACTAGGTATCTACACTTGGCATGTCTTTTCAATCTAAGCAGGATAAAATTTCCAAGCCAACTAAGAGTGATTACTAATAAAACTAATTAAATTTCTGTTCTTCCTTATGAACCCTCAATAAATTGTCACATTTTAATATAATCCCATGAATTCCAATCATACTTAGCTCCCAAAGAGAGCGAGTGATATGTCCAGAACTTAACATGTGATGAACAAGTGCCTTAATGCTACAACCAATTTTCCTATCAAAAACCCAGAAATCACTAGGCATGGTGGGGCATGCCTGTAATCCTAGCTCTCTGGAGGTTGAGGCAGGAGGACCATAAGTTCAAGGTCAGTCTGGAAGACAAAATGAGACCCTGTTTCCAAAAAAAAAAAAAAGAGAGAAAGAAATCATGCTACCTTCTTTCCTACAGCTTTCTGTGCTTAAACATAAACTAAATTGTTGGCATAATTCCAACCGAACAGCATTTCCAGATTCATATTGGAAGTCAGCTCTCAGTCAAGACATTGCCCTTAACTGAAAAGTGCTACATAGGTTATCTTTTTGAGATTCTTCTAAAGTCCCAAGTTTTCCCTGTCACAAAGGCACACACCTCTGAGTCAGATGCCAGTGACTCACACCTGTTATCTCAGCTACCTGAAAGACTCTCAGTTCAAAGTCAGGCCAAATAGTTCACGAGATCGTCATCTCCAAATTAACCAAAGCAAAATGGACTGGAGATACAGTTCAAGAGGTTAGAGTGCATGCTTTGCACGCATGAAGCCTATGTTCAAATCCTAGTCCCGCTAAAGAAACCCAAAAAAACAAAAACACCTTCTGATTTTTGTCTATGACATCACCCACCACTCCTATTCTTTCTTTTGGAAAGTGCAGCAGTCTGTTTTTTGCTGCCCTACTCTACCTTTGCAGTGCCAGGGGTCCAAACCAGGGCCTCACACATGCTAGACAAACACTACTGATGATCTATATCCCTCAGCCCAAATCAGTATTTAAAGTTTCTGTTTCAGCTAGGAAAACTGGGTATCCTTAAACTAGAAACATTTAACAAATAATACAGGCAACTAGGGAAGGTTTGACATATGCTAAAATAGTGCCATTCTTCTCTGACTTTTAGAGTGTATATTTTAAACTATATAGTTTACCTTTTAACTATTTCAGATGTCTTAATTAGAAATACATACATTTCCTAATGTAGGAAGAAGT